AAATTATTCAATTTTACAAAATTGAAATTTTGGATAAATTTTTAAAAAAATCAAATTTTTATTTTTTTATTTTATATATTTTTCGCCGGTCCGGTTTGGTTTCAAACCATAATTAAAATTCTCAAACCTAAACCAAACCGTTTTTGACCTGTTTGGTTTGGTTCAAAACCATTTCGTTGATCGGTCCACGTAGCACCAAACCGGTGGTTTCGAAATTGCGATTTCAGTTCGATTTTCAGGTTTGACGATTTTTGCTTACAGCCCTACTTTTTATTATATTATATTAAGTTGAAGTATCTCATGTTCATGTACGTGTTTCTACTTTCTACAATGCTCTAACTGACATTGAGAAGAAATTAAAAGCAATTCAACTGAATTTCCACTATTGAAGCGGTCAAATAAAGCGACATTTTTCCGAACTTTCATGTTTTTTCCTGTCCTTCTTAACTGATTTATCCTTTTGGTAACTATTTGAATGTGCCTTGGAAGTGCGAGTTTATCAAGTTGCATTAGATATGATGATTATCATGATTTTTTTTCTTTCTTAATGCTTATAATATTGTTTAATTGTTTTTTAAAACGTGCAGTGTATAATATTATATGTTCGAATGTCCAAGAACTATTTTATAGAAAGAGAATAGAAATGTATGTAGTGGTAAGTTTGAATATGCAAAAAGTACTTCTAGATAAAAAGAAAAAGATTCATGTTTATACTGGTGATTCTAATTCTTGAAATTCACTTTTATAAAAAGCGAGAATAAGATTAATATTTCAATTATTGAATTTGAAGATTCTGATTCTCGAATGTTCTTGAATTCATATTATTTTCGTTAAATGGATTGTATAGAATTTTGTTTATGTTACGGTTTTCTCGTTTTTGAGGGATAGACTTGTGGTTTTCAACCCAGTACAAAACGAACAAAATGCATTTAGCCCTTGTTTGAGCCCTATTTTTAGGCTAAAATGAATTTTGTAATAGTTATTTTTTGGAGAATGTCTGATTAAAAAGATAAAAAACAGAGAAGTGGGGGCAAAAAAAAAAAAAGAAAGGAAGGAAGAAAAAGTGCAGGAGAAAGAAAAAGGAAGTTCGAAAATATTATAGAATCGTTCTAGTATTCGCTAAAAAAGAACAGAGAATGATGTGATGTAGGCTGAGCTGAACCAAGTACAGTATGCAACAGTTCGGCTTGTCAAAAAACCTGCACATCTTGCCTTTTCATCTTTTCCTCAGTTTATTTTAAAAGGTGGTTTTAAATAACTTGTCATCTTTTCGGTCTTAATGATAATGTGTAGATTACATCCACGATTATAAAAAAAAAACGATAATGTGTAGGTTGTTGTAATTTATATTAGCTCTTTTAAGGGGATTTTGTTAGAATCAGAGTGGGGGGTGAGCTTTAGCCCCTCCATGATGTGTATAACATCTGTTTAACTGTAACTTTCTAAATTTGAACGTAGCTTACTAGTTGATGTTTAGATATATCACTTCTTTAAGGTTGTACGTCATTTGGTAATTGTGATTTTGTATACACGTGCCTTTATTGTGTGCTTTGTTGCTACACTTTTGTTACAGGTAGGAAAACAAGATAGCATGCTCGGTTTTTTATGAGCAAGTGATCGAGGCATGGATGCCAAAATTACTGGATTGCGGAATC